TCTTTCCCTTCTGTCCAGGGCTTCAAAAAGTAACTTTCAAAAAGGCAGATTCAAGAAAAATCTTTATATACATTCATACATACCATTTCTCCACTGCCCTGTCCTCCCGTCTAGGGGACAGAAATAAAGCAATATATTATTTCCTTCTTTACAAACTAGAACAAATATCATTCTTTGGAATGTTTTCATTTCAGTGTATTTTTCTTTTTGAAAGCAAGCCACAATAACCATTATGAAGCTATGGAAAAGTTACACAGTTTTGGACGGCAGCCTTTCCCATAGTGTTTCACTGAGCATTGTTCTATTTACCCGTGATAGAGAATCGCTCCAGTTCCGCTCTCTCCCTAGCAAACTTTCGTTTCGTTTCTTTCATTTAGAGCTGGAATGAGCTGGTCCTCAGAATTTCTTCTCTATAAATGCGGTATGTTGAGCCTGAAGATAGCTCACTATCTTTTCCTCTATTTCCATGCCTTGAGCTATTTCCTCATCAGAAAGAGATAATGGCGTTTGAGAGTCTTTGGTTACAATAACAACAGAGGTTCTCCGCGACTCCAGGATATTTGCTACCACCACCTGGTGACGATACTTCTCCAGAGCCTTCCGTGATTTTTCAATTAAGATCGAGGGATCCGTTTCCAGTTTAAAGGAAATAACAAACGCCTCCGGAGCCCATTCTTTGACTAGAGGAGACAGCATTTTTGGCACCATCTCCATTGTGATCTACATTGGGAGAAGACAGCAGAAAAAAGGTTTCAGTAAAAACATTACAACACCTTTTAATATGAGTTAAGGCAAAAAACTAAGAGAACAGGGAAATTCCAGCTTCACTTCATAGTGGAACTGCTCCAGATGACTTTTAGGTTGGGAAGTTTTCCCAAGGCAGTATTTTGTCAAATCCCATTCCAAAAGGTTAAAATGTCACTGACATGCATTGTAAGCCTAAATTCAAGCATCAGTCCGATGTTGCCAATAATCAGAGCGTTCTTAACAGATGAGGCAGGCCTACAGTACCTGCATAAACATGCTTCGTGTTAGTTAAGTGGTAAAATCAACTCTGGAAATACAAGCATAAGTAGAGGAACCACAGAATTACAGCTACAGAAGTCTGAGTTTTTAACCATCTAAAATCCACGGAGATAAACAAACCTTGGCCCCACTATCTATCAACTATTTAGGGCACACAAAGCATAAATATGGTAAAGACTGGGAAAATGGCGTGCCCAACTGCATAACCTCTGGATCTGTTGCTGGGAATCAGGTAGGATCTCATATTTCCTATAGTAAGGATGAAAACAAATGAGACCAGTAACTTGTAAAAAACTAATTAAACTAGAATAGTGGAACTCATTTGGTATGGGGGATGCAGCAGAACTCAAGGCCCACCTGCTCCCATAGCTCAAAGGAGCCTAGGCAGTAAACAAGTGCGTTACACCTTTAGATTGTTTGCACTTCTGCATTGCTGTCGGGGCATCTAGGAAGAAGGCAAGAGAAATACTCCAGCAGCAACTATTCTTAGAGTACGGCAACGGTCTGAGATCCACCATCTACCTATTACCATGGTGCAAGCATATACAGCTTTGAAGGAAAAAGCCAGTAAAAACAGAATGCAACCTCTTTTTGAGGCTACTTCAAGCTACTACACCCGAAACAAAAAAGGTAATACTAATATGTCTCAAAAATACAGAGCTAGACTGCAATGAACCCAACTGCATTCTCGTTTCTGCCACTGAGCTGTTGCACCACTTACTTTTGCTGCACCACTTACTTTTGCTGCACCACCACTTACTGAGTACTCTCTTTATCTCTAGGAACGGTTGCGGAACAACTTAGGTCAATCTAAGGCAGGACTGACGCTGCCTTTTCCCTCCTGTTATCCTCAGCCACCTTGCCCCACTACCTCTAATGCACAGAGACAGCTGGTGAGCCAACACAGGGTCTTGACCCAGGCAAAAATTAACCCTAAGAACACAAGGAAAGCCTGGTGCGAGGGAGGGAACAGACCAGTGCAACCCTATCGCAGACTGGCATTGGCTTCCATGGAATTGCATCCTGCCATTCATAGGGAAACGGCAGAGTTTTGCCCAGCAAGCCGGTCCTCCGTGGTTTTTCCCAGGCGTTAATTCGCAGCTGGCTGACAAGGCTGCCAGGTGACTCAGGGTATAGGGAAGCCCATGGCAGGGGCCTCACCTGCAGGGGCCCCTCTGAGGACTGGACCTTGTGCTCGGGCATCTCCGAGGCGGGGATGTAGAAGTCGGACACGGCAGCCGCCAGGTAAAACATGACGTTAGAGCCTGTGAGAAACGGAACCGTCAACACCCATCACCGGCCCCACTGGCCAGGATTTTCTTCCTTCACATACACAC